GGGATGTGGGGTTTCCTTTGTCCAAGCAGACCATGAGTGTGGATTCTGCAGCTGTTTTGTATTCCCTAAGCCCTTTAACTCTGGGGCTATTGACTGGGGTCATGTCTTTTTTGGTCAGTGTTTTCTAAACAACAGTTGAGTTAAGGAATAGATGTGGGCTTACCCCCCTGTAAAGAAGTCCAAGTGAATCATGCCAGTGGAGATTATTTATGACTTGGATTCAGTCCACTTAAGTAATTTCTTTACATCACGAGGGAGTTAGGCAGAAAAAGAACTCTGGGCTACAAACTGGCTCAAGAGCCCCAGTAAATAACGACCTGTCTGAGCTGTCGAGCTAAACCCTCCTCCCTGGGAAATGGAAACCCCAGAATTTTCACACCGCAACTCCACCGAGAAGAGAAGGGCACACCGTTTTCTCGCTTTCCAAACCAGTTGAGAACACTCATGCCTTCCCATTTGGAACCCAGAGGCTTGGAGCAGTGGGGGCTGGAGATAAGAGCGAGTAGGATGGGAATGAAGGATGGCAGCCAACTTGGAGGATTGTGAAGTTCCTGCTGGAGAGGACTCTCTGAGCCATGACACCAAGAGTCAGTTAACAGCAGGATTTGCAGTGTGTGCAGCAGTAAATTTGTTCCTGGGGCTGATGTGGGTGTGGCCAATGTCAACTGCTAATCACCTTCGTCTTCACTAAGGATCACTTGTACCAAAGTTAGTTTTACTCTAAGATAAACTCAAGCACGGAGTCTTCTGAATAGCTTTTTCCAGATACGTCAAATCTGTATGTTCTCTATTCACATTGAAATAGATTTTCCCAGCGAGAAGGACGCCATGGGCTTTCCCGACTATGTTGCCTCTTTCTTCTTCCAACATACACTAAAGCTAAGGGACTAGTGACCAGGGAACTGGATCCCAAGAGTCTCCTCTTTGTATCTAAAAGGAAACTGATCCCAACTTTTACCCAGCAGTGTTGCAGCAGGACACATCCATTGTCGGGGCAACACCCATACTTTCTTCCCCACTGCGAGA